CATACAGAAATGGGGACGTCGTGTACATTTTGTAATGTCTTATTGTAAAATTTATTTCTGGTTTTCAGTTTAATTGAAAAAGTAATTTTGACAGAACATTAACAAAATCTATGATGTTTTTACCTTCCAAATCTAATTCATCACGTGCATTACGCGACAAACATTTTTGATATTATTCCTTTTTAATATACGTATCACGAGTGAACTTTTGCGCTCGTTATAAATTTTGAGGACATTATGTCATGTTTTTGAAAGAATTTGTGCCGTCTTATATTAGGTAACACAAGTTATAATGAATGTTGTACTTCTTTTGTGATGATTTTACAACGGACGCCCAAGAAACAAATACAAATTTAGAGTTAGATAACAGTAGAGCCAGATAATGAATGAGCCTTCATAATGCATCTGTTTCGTCCTTCTAGGACTCGTCAGTGATGTTAATGACCTGTCTTGTTGTTGATAATAACCCCTGCCACCCTAATTAGACATGGGACGAGCTCAACTTCGTGATTGTGAACTTTCCTTTCCTCACTGGTCGCCTTCCTTCAGTTGATATCTCGTATTACATATATAATGCTAAATACAGACCATTCAACGAAGACCTTGTTCACTTCTTTAAAGCCATCGTAAGCTTCATACGTTCTTTATTCGTACACTGCACTGATCTATTTCCATTCATAGAAAATTGATTTCACTGATATACATATTTTGTTACATTTTATATCATGGTGAAATACATATATGCTAACACCCCTAAATTTTAAATAATTGTAACATTTGTTTCCGTATATCAGACCGTAGTCACATATTCTCTCCTATTTCTAGTAACAAATTTTCTTGTGTAGGATTGTTGTCACTGACATTCTTTTTGTCTCCGAGATTGGTGACCTACATGTTATTCAATATCGAGGATCGTTGTGACCTACTTACTTTCCTGTATCTATGGTCGTTGTGACCTTCATTCTTCCCCGTATCTAACTGTTGTGACCTACATTCTTCTCCGTATCTAACTGTTGTGACCTACATACTTTGCTCTATCTGAGATCGTTGTGACCTACATTCTTCAACGTGTCTAATTGTTGTAACCTACATCATTCCCCGTATCTAACTGTTGTGACCTACATACTTTACTCTATCTGAGATCGTTGTGACCTACATTCTTCCCCGTTTAGATTCTGTTATTGACTGAAGTGTCAATTCCCATCGTCATATTGTTGTAACTTTTCAATTCCAGTTGTACTATTTTTGTAATCTCTCAATTCCAGTAGTATTAATTTTTGTAATCTCTCAATTCCAGTTGTACTATTTTTGTAATTTCTCAACTCCAGTTGTACTATTTTTGCAATCTCTCAATTCCAGTTGTACTATTTTTGCAATCTCTCAATTCCAGTTGTACTATTTTTGTAATCTCTCAACCCCAGCTGTACTATTTTTTTAATCACTCAATTCCAGTTGTACTATTTTTGTAATCTCTCAATTCCAGTTGTACTATTTTTGTAATCTCACAGTCTCAGTAGTATTATTGTTGTTATTTCTTTATTCCAGTTATACTATTTCTGTACACATTGTTTACTGTTCTGCTTTCTTGTCATGACAGCATTTCTTCCAGGGTCACTTCCCCATCTTCATTTTGATATTTCTTTCAATCAATTTTTATTTTCCACCATCCCCTCCTACATTGCAATACATTAGGCCCTTTGGCTCTACTGTTTCTAACCCACACTTACAGTGAGGGAAAGATGTCACTAACTTGATGGGATAAGACAGCCTGCATGTACAGAACATAAACACCTGCTAAACCAGAAGTTGTTAATTTGAGATCATAAGACACACTGATTGATGTTGACAGTCTAAGATGAGTTTAATGTTATTGTAAGACAGTGTCTGATAAGTTTGTTTAAATAAATTTCAAATGCATTATGTCTTTGTACAATTTATGATGTAGATCACAATTTGGTCAAAATAAAAACAAAAGTGGCTATTTCTCTGATTTTGTTTCCTTATTTGTCATCATATATTTGTCTCGTTATTCTATTTCTAGCATGTTGGAGATAAGAGGTAGAAAAAGAATCATTCCCTAGTTTGAGGGTAGGACAGAGAAATCTTTAACCTAGGAGGAGATTCCAGACTGTCTCACCACAGGCTTTGTCGAGGTTTAGACTGTTTGGAATCTCTCATGAGTGTAACTACTTCTCTGTTAAACCCTGGAGCTAGGGAAACATCCTGTCTTTGTGTACAATCTTCTCCCACTTACTAATCTACTGTACCAGAATGGTAACTGTACAGGACATTATTGATCTCTGATGACAACTTATTATAACACCATTACATATTTTTGTAACACCATAAAAAAAGAAAACAACTTGGGATTTTCTATATAACATTTATTGATGTCTACGTGTTACAACTAGACAAATCTACGTAGAATTTTCTTTATAATTGAACAAAGCAACCTCTTTAGAAAAAACATTGTGGTTTACGCTGATCAGGTCTGGGACATGGCATTTTTACTGTGTAGGACATTGACCCTTGTTTCTTTATGCTAACAAAGCAGCTCAATATTCATAGGTTAAGTTTCAATTATGAATTCAATTTCATATATATGGGATTTCAAATGAGTTTTCATTCCATATGAAATTTTATGAAATTTGTCTTGAATTTTGAATGAAATAGAAAAATAAAGTAATGGTTATTATTTTTAATTGTTTTATTTTTCGCAACTTTCAAGAATGGAATAAAACTGCGAAAAATAGACACTACTTTGAAATAAAACAACCTGTAGCAGTGAAAACCACAGCTCATTTCATGCCCTAAAAGTCTGTTTAAAGTTTTTTGTAAAATGGCAAACAAATTACATGTCAAAAATAATAGTCTTTACAATAATGTAGCCAGACTTCATGCTTGAAACAGAGTTAATTAAAGATTTTGTAACAGCTTGCTAAACTTCAGTTAATTCAACCACAACTTTCAAAGAGAAGAATAAAAATTCTGTGTACAACACAGGACACCTTCATGTTTATTTTCTACCAGGTAAATAATACCCTGTATCAGTTAGATATATAGAGACTATTGAAGATCCTAACAACATGTGAAGCCTTTTTTTATACCACTAGTAAGATAACCTGTAAGCTGACAGCTGTAGATGTCCAGATTGACGTATATTACTAAGACTGTCACAGGTGTGAACACATCATGTCCTGTACTCAGCCTCTAATTAATTAGGTCACAGTATCCTAGCCTGGACACCATGTACACTGTAAGGTGTGGTCATTTCATTCTATCCTTCGTATTGTTCAATCTACTGAACCTCAGTAGGCAAAATTCATGACAACTATTTCTGTGTGTTAAATTTTGACCTTTATTTGTTCGTGTTTATCAGCTGTTTTTTGAACATTTTTCCATAGAGTCTTTAGATTCTGATTGGTCGGTTTTTCTTTTGACACCACTGACACGTTCTTGTTTTTTCTCCAGGTAGTCTTTCATATTGTCGACTTTAACCTTCTTCAAACCCTCGGGTAAGTGTGTGGTTACTCCTACAGACTCTGTAAATAAGATATGGAATGAAAATCTATATTGAAATGTAGAAATAATACCAAAAATATTATACAAACATCAATATCTTATTCTTAATACATACACTAGCAATGTTAATATTTCTATACACAAATGCATATGATATATTAATGTAGACAAGTTTCTGTAATTATTGAAATAAAATTATATAGACATTTTCATATAAGCATTTAACTGCTTCCAGTTGTTATTCATGGACACATAAATGCCAATAGCATATGAGGTGTGTTAGTGCTTTATTTATGCAAATGAATTCTATATGAAAGCAGTTCAATGCTTGTATTCAACTTTTACAATTTACATTTTGTTATAAGAAGAGACAATCTCAATTTACATACATTATCGGTAGTATTCTTATGTTGTTGGCAGTTCATGAGCTAGTAATACACAACCTACTCTGGCAATATCATACGGTAGCTATGTCACACCATGATATACAATACGTCTAGTAACCAAAATACTACAGCTTCATTCGTTTGGGGAGTAGTGACTCAAGTATTGACTGAGAACTATGTTAATTATATGATTAATCACCTTTGAAGAATTGCCAGTTAGAGTTGATGGCCTCCAGCAGAAGACCTACACTGGATGTCTTGTCTCCTGTGTTTACGATCTTCATCTAGAAATATCAAAGAATTCCTGTAACTATGATAACCTCAGTTTATTACTTAAAACTTATCAATTTGCAATTTCAAGCTTTCTTGTGATCAAATTGTTTCTCAATGAAATGTCTATCAAAATTTAAATAACTTAACAAAAAATCCACTTTCTTTCCTTCAGATGTCATATACTTGCATGAAAAATTTATTTGAATTAATTTTTTGAAATATCAATCATGTTAGCTTAGCATAAAACCTCTGTCATTATAACAATAAGTATAATTAAAGGTCCTGCTACAGATAGAGAGTGTCCTTACCATATTATCATCCTTGCTCCATTCATACACCTTGGCACAGATGTCTTCATTGGGCTGGAGAACCCACAGTTGGTGGTCAAAATCAAAACAGATATCCCAGGGTTCCATCTCTGTTGTTATGATTACAGGGCCAGTCAGTGAAACCCCTGACGCAGAACAAACTAGCTGGAACACATACACTTGACTGCACCTAACAATAAAGAAAACTGACAATTAACAATATATATATATATATATAAATCTGATGAAATTGGGGAGTTTGGGTGGGGTAGGGGTAGGGGGGGGGTATGGGTAGGGGTGGGGTGGGGGTGGGGTAGGGGTTGGGGTGGGAGTTGGGGTGTGGTAGGGGTAGGGGTAGGGGTTGGGGTTGGGGTGGGGTAGGGGTAGATGTGGGGGGTTGGGGGGGTTGGGGTGTGATTGGGGTTGGGGGGGTTGGGGTGAGGGTTGGGGTGTGGTAGGGGTAGGGGTTGGGGTAGGAGTTTGGGTAGGGTAGGGGAGGGATAGGGGTTGGGGTGGAGGTTGGGGTGTGGTAGGGGTAGTGGTTGGGGTGTGGTAGGGGTAGGGTTAGGGGTGGGGTAGGAGTTGGGGGAGGGTAGGGGAGGGGCAAGGGTAGGGGTGGGGTAGGGGTAGGGGTGGGGTAGAAGTTTGGGTGGGGTAGGGGTTGTGGTGGGTGGTTTTTGCAGGACAACAGCATTTGTTTATGACCTTACTGAACATCAATAAATATGGGTGGCCTTATTACCAGGCATGGGCTTATTGTTGAATATTTATGGAAATCAAAGTCAGTGTTAGCTTAAAAGGACATTGAAATATCACTTATTTTTAATTACACTGATTAGAATATATATTGGTGGGCTTATTACTGGATATAAAGGAAATCTTAACATACCCTTTCCCTATAGGAACATTTCCCCATCGCATAATAAGTTTCCTTGTCCCTACGACACATTTACATAAGTTAGACTTTCATTGGTAATCACATTAGCCATATAAACCTCAAAATTTGAATCAATATAACCTTGGCATATCCTACCAAAGTCAGCAGTTGTATCTGAGTACAGAGTGAACATATATATGTAGTTTGGATAAATACAAAATTCGATTTCTTAAGATTTTTTTGTGTCTTTTAATTGCACTTTTTTCATTTTCAGTAAAATCTTGAATGTGTTTTGACAAGTTTATATAAATATCTCTTTATTCACATGCAAAGAAAAGCCTTCAGCAACAATTGGTATTTAAGTACCGACCATAAAAGCTAGAAGACAATCTCTTGTCAATTATAGCTCATTATCACAGTTAATTTAGACATCAACGTGTCCATTTCCTGTCTAGCGTTTGACTGGAGGTCAAGGTCATTAGAGATAATCACATGCTCTTTCTGAAGGGATATCAGCAAAAATATTTGTTAAAAACCTGCTTTATTAGAGGTAAACCTGATTAACTACAAATAACTTTATAAACTAGAGGCAAATTTGAATACCTGGTAACTACTTTTAACTTGAAAAACTATATGTAAACTAGATAAACTGCTGTTAACCTAATTTACTAGAGGTAACCTTGATTAACTACAGTTATCCTGATAAACTAGAGGAAAATTTGATTTAACTAGTTAACTTGATAAACTAGTGGTAAACTTAATTAACTACTGTTAACTTGATAAACTTGAGTTAAACTTGATTAACTACAATGTTGGTATGTTTGATTAAAATTTGATAACCAACAATCAAACATGCATTAACTATAATAAAACATGAAACTATGTAACTGTGCTGTATAAACAACTCTACCACAAGATATCTGCTTAATTATTTAAATCTAACTAAATCCACATTAAACTAAATCACAGAACTAAACTACATTGTCTTCCATAAATATGGTGAATTTATTTAAAAATTGTACACTACAGTAAAACCTGGTTAACACATTTAAAATCTAGTAAAATTATGGTAAGACCTAATAAACAACAGTGAAACTTAGAAATCTAAATTTAGATCTGGTAACCATAAATAAATCCTGGTAAATATCTCTAAACCTGGTAAACATCAGAAAAACCTGATATATCTGTAAAACCTGGTTAACATCAGTAAAACCTGGTAAATATCAGTAAAAACTGGTAAATATCTCGAAAACCTGGTTAATATCAGTAAAACCTGGTAAACAATTGTAAAATCTGGTAAACATCTGTAAAACCTGGTAAATATCTGTAAAACCTGGTAAACATCAGTAAAACCTGGTAAACATCTGTAAAACCCGGTAAACATCTGTAAAACCTGGTAAACATCTGTAAAACCCGGTAAACATCTGTAAAACCTGGTAAACATCAGTAAAACCTGGTAAACATTTGTAAAATCTGGTAAATATCTGTAAAACCTGGTAAATATCTGTAAAACCTGGTAAATATCAGTAAAACCTAATAAAAATCTGTAAAACCCAGTAAACATCAGTAAAACCTGGTAAATATCAGTAAAACCTGGTAAACATTTGTAAAATCTGGTAAATATCTGTAAAACCTGGTTAACATCAGTAAAACCTGGTAAATATCTGTTAAACCTGGTAAACATCTGTAAAACCTGGTTAACATCAGTAAAACCTGGTAAATATCTGTAAAACCTGTTAAATATCAGTAAAACCTGGTAAATATCTGTTCAACCTAGTCAATATCAGTAAAACCTGGTAAACATTTGTAAAACCCGGTAAACATCTGTAAAACCTGGTAAATATCAGTAAAACCTGGTAAATATCTGTTAAACCTGGTAAATATCAGTAAAACCTGGTAAATATCTGTAAAACCTGGTAAATATCAGTAAAATCTGGTAAACATCTGTAAAATCTGGTAAATATCTGTAAAACCTGGTAAATATCAGTAAAACCTGGTAAACATCAGTAGAACAAGGTAAAACTATAGAAAAAAAATAAATTGACATCATGCAATATATGTCAGGTGTATAACAACATTTAGATCAAGGGCAAAAAAATACCTCTTACTTGTGAACATGATATTTCAAAGATAAAGACAGTTGTTAAATCTTAATTGACTTTAATTCCAGTTAAATACTATCACAGCATACAAAATTATATTTTCGTGGGGCACAATTAAATTTTTTTTGTAATTACTACTTAGTGGATATTTCATTTCAGTAATGAATATAGCTCTAATATAATTCGTTAAAATAATCTAATTATATCAATTTTAACAGTTTTGTATACGTATAAATCTAGGGATGAAATATACCCATGAAATCAATGAAAATAAATCCCACATGAAAAATGGAAGATTTTACAATTGGTGACAGAGATGAATGATTATTAAGTTAAAGTCGAGTGATTTGTGTTTGAATTAGATTTTATTCTGTAATAGAATGTCAGTTCTAAATATCTGTCGTTTGCCTGTATGATGTTGTAGGCAGGAGTGACAATTAGATTTTATTCTGTAATAGAGTGTCAGTTCTAAATATCTGTCGTTTGCCTGTATGATGTTGTAGGCAGGAGTGACAATTAGATTTTATTCTGTAATTGACTGTCAGTTCTAAATATCTGTTGTTTGCCTGTATGATGTTGTAGGCAGGAGTGACAATTAGATTTTATTCTGTAATAGAGTGTCAGTTCTAAATATCTGTTGTTTGCCTGTATGATGTTGTAGGCAGGAGTGACAATTAGATTTTATTCTGTAATAGAGTGTCAGTTCTAGATATCTGTTGTTTGCCTGTATGATGTTGTAGGCAGGAGTGACAATTAGATTTTATTCTGTAATTGAATGTCAGTTCTAAATATCTGTTGTTTGCCTGTATGATGTTGTAGGCAGGAGTGACAATTAGATTTTATTCTGTAATAGAATGTCAGTTCTAGATATCTGTTGTTTGCCTGTATGATGTTGTAGGCAGGAGTGACAATTAGATTTTATTCTGTAATAGAGTGTCAGTTCTAAATATCTGTCGTTTGCCTGTATGATGTTGTAGGCAGGAGTGACAATTAGATTTTATTCTGTAATAGAATGTCAGTTCTAGATATCTGTTGTTTGCCTGTATGATGTTGTAGGCAGGAGTGACAATTAGATTTTATTCTGTAATAGAATGTCAGTTCTAAATATCTGTTGTTTGCCTGTATGATGTTGTAGGCAGGAGTGACAATTAGATTTTATTCTGTAATAGAGTGTCAGTTCTAAATATCTGTTGTTTGCCTGTATGATGTTGTAGGCAGGAGTGACAATTAGATTTTATTCTGTAATAGAGTGTCAGTTCTAAATATCTGTTGTTTGCCTGTATGATGTTGTAGGCAGGAGTGACAATTAGATTTTATTCTGTAATAGAGTGTCAGTTCTAAATATCTGTTGTTTGCCTGTATGATGTTGTAGGCAGGAGTGACAATTAGATTTTATTCTGTAATAGAGTGTCAGTTCTAAATATCTGTTGTTTGCCTGTATGATGTTGTAGGCAGGAGTGACAATTAGATTTTATTCTGTAATAGAGTGTCAGTTCTAAATATCTGTCGTTTGCCTGTATGATGTTGTAGGCAGGAGTGACAATTAGATTTTATTCTGTAATAGAGTGTCAGTTCTAAATATCTGTTGTTTGCCTGTATGATGTTGTAGGCAGGAGTGACAATTAGATTTTATTCTGTAATAGAGTGTCAGTTCTAAATATCTGTCGTTTGCCTGTATGATGTTGTAGGCAGGAGTGACAATTAGATTTTATTCTGTAATAGAGTGTCAGTTCTAAATATCTGTCGTTTGCCTGTATGATGTTGTAGGCAGGAGTGACAATTAGATTTTATTCTGTAATAGAGTGTCAGTTCTAAATATCTGTCGTTTGCCTGTATGATGTTGTAGGCAGGAGTGACAATTAGATTTTATTCTGTAATAGAGTGTCAGTTCTAAATATCTGTCGTTTGCCTGTATGATGTTGTAGGCAGGAGTGACAATTAGATTTTATTCTGTAATAGAATGTCAGTTCTAAATATCTGTCGTTTGCCTGTATGATGTTGTAGGCAGGAGTGACAATTAGATTTTATTCTGTAATTGAATGTCAGTTCTAAATATCTGTTGTTTGCCTGTATGATGTTGTAGGCAGGAGTGACAATTAGATTTTATTCTGTAATAGAATGTCAGTTCTAGATATCTGTTGTTTGCCTGTATGATGTTGTAGGCAGGAGTGACAATTAGATTTTATTCTGTAATTGAATGTCAGTTCTAAATATCTGTTGTTTGCCTGTATGATGTTGTAGGCAGGAGTGACAATTAGATTTTATTCTGTAATTGACTGTCAGTTCTAAATATCTGTTGTTTGCCTGTATGATGTTGTAGGCAGGAGTGACAATTAGATTCAGGGATTTAAATATAAAACAGACAAACATATCATCAAATCTTTTGATTTTCTTTAAACAATATAAATGTCATCTGTTACTAGCTGCAATATAGAGTAGAACACCTACACAATTGTCTCCATTATATCTCACCCGTAACAAATGGCTGCCACAACACCATTATCATGGTTAGTGACTGGATGGGGAGACAATCTGTCCCCAAAAACACTGACTTTATGGGAGAGTTCAGGAGAAAAAGTCATTTGAATTTTTACACAAATTTGACCCCTAAAACACTGACTGGATCAGAGAAATCTGTCCCCTAAAACACATGACTGATGGGGAGACTGTCTAAAACACTGACTGGATGGAGAGACAATCTGTCCCCTAAAACACTGACTGGATGGGGAGAAGTTGTTTAAAGGAAAAAGTTAAAGATGTTGTACACTGACTGGATGGGAAAACAATCTGTCCCCTGGAACACTGACTGGATGCGGAGATAATCTGTCCCCTAAAACACTGACTGGATGGGGAGACAATCTGTCCCCTAAAACACTGACTGGATGGAGAGAGAATCAGGCCCCTAAAACACTGACTGGATGGGCAGAGAATCAGGTCCCTAAAACACTGACTGGATGGAGAGAGAATCAGGCCCCTAAAACACTGACTGGATGGGGAGACAATCTGTCCCCTAAAACACTGACTGGATGGAGAGAGAATCAGGCCCCTAAAACACTGACTGGATGGAGAGAGAATCTGTCCCCTAAAACACTGACTGGATGGGGAGACAATCTGAGACTGGATGGAGAGAGAATCAGGCCCCTAAAACACTGACTGGATGGGGAGAGAATCTGTCCCCTTGAACACTGGCTGGATGGGGGGACAATATGTCCCCTAAAACACTGACTGGATGGGCAGAGAATCAGTCCCCTAAAACACTGACTGGATGGAGAGAGAATCAGGCCCCTAAAACACTGACGGGATGAAGAGAGAATCAGGCCCCTAAAACACTGACTGGATGGAGAGAGAATCGGGCCCCTAAAACACTGACTGGATGGGGAGAGAATCTGTCCCCTAATCAGGCCCCTAAAACACAGACTGGATGGGGAGACAATCTGTCCCCTAAAACACTGACGTGATGGAGAGAGAATCAGGCCCCTAAAACACTGACTGGATGGGCAGAGAATCAGTCCCCTAAAACACTGACTGGATGGAGAGAGAATCAGTCCCCTAAAACACTGACTGGATGGGCAGAGAAAACACTGACTGGATGGGGAGAGAATCTGTCCCCTAAAACCCTAAAACACTGACTGGATGGGGAGAGAATCTGTCCCCTAAAACACTGACTGGATGGAGAGAGAATCAGTCCCCTAAAACACTGACTGGATGGGGAGACAATCTGTCCCCTAAAACACTGACTGGATGGAGAGAGAATCAGGCCCCTAAAACACTGACTGGATGGAGAGAGAATCAGGCCCCTAAAACACTGACTGGATGGAGAGAGAATCAGGCCCCTAAAACACTGACTGGATGGAGAGAGAATCTGTCCCCTAAAACACAGACTGGATGGAGAGAGAATCTGTCCCCTAAAACACAGACTGGAAGGGGAGACAATCTATCCCCTAAAACACTGACTGGATGGAGAGAGAATCAGTCCCCTAAAACACTGACTGGATGGAGAGAGAATCAGTCCCCTAAAACACTGACTGGATGGAGAGAGAATCAGGCCCCTTAAACACTGACTGGATGGAGAGAGAATCAGGCCCCTAAAACACTGACTGGATGGAGAGACAATCTGTCCCCTAAAACACTGACTGGATGGGGAGACAATCTGTCCACTAAAACACAGACTGGATGGAGAGACAATCTGTCCCCTAAAACACTGACTGGATGGGTAGACAATCTGTCCCCTAAAACACTGACTGGATGGGGAGACAATCTGTCCCCTAAAACACTGACTGGATGGGCAGAGAATCAGTCCCCTAAAACACTGACTGGATGGGGAGACAATCTGTCCCCTCAAACACTGACTGGATGGAGAGAAAATCAGGCCCCTAAAACACAGACTGGATGGGGGGACAATATGTCCCCTAAAACACTGACTGGATGGAGAGAGAATCTGTCCCCTAAAACACTGACTGGATGGGTAGACAATCTGTCCCCTAAAACACTGACTGGATGGGGAGACAATCTGTCCACTAAAACACAGACTGGATGGAGAGACAATCTGTCTCCTAAAACACTGACTGGATGGGGAGACAATCTGTCCCCTAAAACACTGACTGGATGGAGAGACAATCTGTCCCCTAAAACACAGACTGGAGAGACAGTCCCCTAAAACACTGACTGGATGGGGAGAGAATCTAAACACTGACTGGATGGGGAGAGAATCTGTCCCCTAAAACAGTGACTGGATGGGGAGACAATCTGTCCCCTCAAATGCTGACTGGATGGGGAGACAATCTGTCCCCTAAAACACTGACTGGATGGGGAGATAATCTGTCCCCTAAAACACTGACTGGATGGGGAGAGAATCTGTCCCCTAAAACACTGACTGGATGGGGAGAGAATCAGTCCCCTAAAACACTGACTGGATGGGGAGACAATCTGTCCCCTTGAACACTGGCTGGATGGGGAGATAATCTGTCCCCTAAACACTGACTGGAAGGGGAGAGAATCTGTCCCCTAAAACACAGACTGGAAGGGGAGACAATCTGTCCCCTAAAACACTGACTGGATGGAGACTGACTGGATGGAGAGAGAATCAGGCCCCTAAAACAGTGACTGGAATGAGAGAGAATCTGTCCCCTAAAACACTGACTGGATGGGTAGACAATCTGTCCCCTAAAACACTGACTGGATGGGCAGAGAATCTGTCCCCTAAAACACTGACTGGACAGAGAGAGAATCAGGCCCCTAAAACACTGACTGGATGGAGAGAGAATAAGGCCCCTAAAACACTGACTGGATGGGAGAGAATCAGGCCCCTCAAAACACTGACTGGATGGGGAGAGAATGGAGAGAGAATCAGTCCCCTAAAACACTGACTGGATGGGGAGAGAATCTGTCCCCTAAAACACTGACTGGATGGGGAGACAATCTGTCCCCTCAAATGCTGACTGGATGGGGAGACAATCTGTCCACTAAAACACAGACTGGATGAGGAGAGAATCTGTCCCCTAAACACTGACTGGATGAGGAGATAATCTGTCCCCTAAAACACTGACTGGATGGGGAGAGAATCTGTCCCCTAAAACACTGACTGGATGGGTAGACAATCTGTCCCCTAAAACACTGACTGGATGGGGAGACAATCTGTCCCCTAAAACACTGACTGGATGGGGAGATAATCTGTCCCCTAAAACACTGACTGGATGGGGAGAGAATCTGTCCCCTAAAACACTGACGGGATGGAGAGAGAATCAGGCCCCTAAAACACTGACTGGATGGGGAGAGAATCTGTCCCCTAAAACACTGACTGGATGGGGAGATAATCTGTCCCCTAAAACACTGACTGGATGGGGAGAGAATCTGTCCCCTAAAACACTGACTTGATGGAGAGACAATCTGTCCCCTAAAACACTGACTGGATGGGGAGACAATCTGTCCCCTAAAACACTGACTGGATGGGGAGACAATCTGTCCCCTAAAACACTGACTGGATGGGGAGATAATCTGTCCCCTAAAACACTGACTGGATGGGGAGAGAATCTGTCCCCTAAAACACTGACTTGATGGAGAGACAATCTGTCCCCTAAAACACTGACTGGATGGGGAGACAATCTGTCCCCTAAAACACTGACTGGATGGAGAGACAATCTGTCCCCTAAAACACTGACTGGATGGGGAGACAATCTGTCCCCTAAAACACTGACTGGATGGGGAGACAATCTGTCCCCTAAAACACTGACTGGATGGGGAGAGAATCTGTCCCCTAAAACACTGACTGGATGGGTAGACAATCTGTCCCCTAAAAAACACAGACTGGATGGGGAGACAATCTGTCCCCTAAAACACTGACTGGATGGGGAGAGAATCTGTCCCCTAAAACACTGACTGGATGGAGAGAGAATCAGTCCCCTAAAACACTGACTGGATGGGGAGACAATCTGTCCCCTAAAACACTGACTTGATGGAGAGACAATCTGTCCCCTAAAACACTGACTGGATGGGGAGAGAATCTGTCCCCTAAAACACTGACTGGATGGGGAGAGAATCTGTCCCCTAAAACACTGACTGGATGGGGAGACAATCTGTCCCCTAAAACACTGACTGGATGAGAGAGAAAACACTGACTGGATGGGGAGACAATCTGTCCCCTAAAACACTGACTGGATGGAGAGAGAATCAGGCCCCTAAAACACAGACTGAATGGTTAGACAATCTGTCCCCTAAAACACTGACTGGATGGAGAGAAAATCAGGCCCCAAAAACACTGACTGGACGGAGAGAGAATCAGGCCCCTTAAACACTGACTGGATGGGGAGACAATCTGTCCCCTAAAACACTGACTGGATGGAGATAGAATCAGGCCCCTAAAACACAGACTGGATGGGGAGACAATCTGTCCCCTAAAACACTGACGTGATGGAGAGAGAATCAGGCCCTTAAAACACTGACTGGATGGGCAGAGAATCTGTCCCCTAAAACACTGACTGGATGGGAGAGAGATCTGTCCCCTAAAACACTGTCTGGATGGGGAGACAATCTGTCCCCTAAAACACTGACTGGATGGGGAGACAATCTGTCCCCTAAAACACTGACTGGATGGGGAGACAATCTGTCCCCTAAAACACTGACTTGATGGAGAGAGAATCAGACCCCTCAAACACTGACTGGATGGGGAGACAATCTGTCCCCTAAAACACTGACTGGATGGGGAGACAATCTGTCCCCTAAAACACTGACTGGATGGGGAGAGAATCAGTCCCCTAAAACACTGACTGGATGGAGAGACAATCTGTCCCCTAAAACACAGACTGGATGGGGAGACAATCTGTCCCCTAAAACACTGACTGGATGGGGAGAGAATCAGACCCCTCAAACACTGACTAGATGGGGAGACAATCTGTCCCCTAAAACACAGACTTGATGTCCCCTAAAACACTGACTGGATGGGGAGACAATCTGTCCCCTAAAACACTGACTGGATGGAGATAGAATCAGGCCCCTAAAACACAGACTGAATGGTTAGACAATATGTCCCCTAAACA